CTTGAGATCAGAAATTGAAGACCAGCCTGGGGAACACAGCGATATTTCATCTCTCTAAAAAAAAAAAAAAAAAAAAATAGCCCTTTGGGAGGCTGAGGCGGGTGGATCACGAGGTCAAGAGATCAAGACCATCCCGGTCAACATGGTGAAACACCATCTCTACTAAAAATACAAAAATTAGCTGGGCATGGTGGCGCGTGCCTGTAATCCCTGCTACTCAGGAGGCTGAGGCAGGAGAATTGCCTGAACCCAGGAGGCGGAGGTTACGGTGAGCCGAGATCACACCATTGCACTCCAGCCTGGGTAACAAGAGCGAAACTCCGTCTCAAAAAAAAAAAAAAAAAATAGCCAGGCAGAGCTGTAGTCTCAAATACTCAGGAACTGAAGTGGGAGGATCACTTGAGGTTCAGGCTGCAATGAGGTACAACTGTATCACTACATCCCATCCTGGGCAACAGAACAGGATCCTGTTCCTGACCCTCCCCACCAAATTATAATTCTTTTCCATCTCCAGCATTGGTTAGTTCTGCTATTTTTTTCCTTGATCATTTTCATCAAGGGTTTATCAATTATTCTTCCAAAGAGTGATTATCATGCCTCAGCCTCCTGAGTAGCTGGGACTACAGGCAGGCACCTGCCACCATGCCCAGCTGATTTTTGTATTTTTAGCCAAGATGGGGTTTCACCATGTTGGCCAGGCTGACCTCAAACTCCTAACCTCAGGTGATCTGCCCACCTTGACTTCCCAAAGGGCTGAGATTACAGGTGTGAGCCACCGAGCCTGGCCCAACTTATTCTTTAATTTTTTTTTAAGTTATATATTCTCATTAATTTCTACTATTCCTTCCATTTGTTTAACTTGCTGTTCTTATTCTAGTTTCTTTTTTGAGACGGAGTTTTGCTATTGTTGCCCAGGCTGGAGTGCAATGGCACGATCTCAGCTCACTGCAACCTCCACCTCCCAGGTTCAAGCAATTCTCCTGCCTCAGCCTCCAAAGTAGTTGGGATTACAGGAATGCACCACCATGCTCGGCTAATTTTGTATTTTTAGTAGAGACAGGGTTCCTTCATATTGATCAGGCTGGTCTCAAACTCCCGACCTCAGGTGATCTGCCTGCCTCGGCCTCCCAAAGTGCTGGGATTACAGGCGTGAGCCACCAGGCCTGGCTATTCTAGTTTCTTGAGAGTGCCTGTTAACCTTTCTTCTTTTCCAATATATACACTTAAGGCTATAAACTTCCCTTTAAGTATGGCCTTAGTCATATTCCTATTTTCAGTTCAAAATAACTTCCTTTTCATGGGATTTGGAGGTACATTTCTTATAGATTTTATAATTTTTGTTCAGTTCTGTTGTAATCAGACTGCCTTCTCTGTATGATTTAAGCCCTCTGAAATTTGTTAGTTTCTTTATGGCCTAACATTTATTCAAGATTGATAAATGCTCCATGTCCATCTGTAAATAACATATATTTTGCAGTTATTGATACAGCGTTCTATACAGACCCATTAGATTAAATTTGTTAACTATGTTGTTCCAATCGCCTATCGCCTTACTGATTTGGTGGGAAGGGGTGTGTCTGCTTCTATCATTTACTGAGACAGCTATATTATAAACTTATATATAGACTTCTGCCTTTTTGCTCAGGATAGAATACCTGGCACTCTATTCTCCTGCCTGAAGCAACTAAAAAACTGAAGAATATACATAAAATGTCACTTAAGACATGCACCATCAGGCATTCTGAAAAACAGTAACTGCTGACAGAACATGAAACAAAAGAGGTAAGCCCCACCATTGTCCCAGAGTTTATTTCCTGAAGAACATTTCCAGGCCATAATGCAAGGGGAAGGGAAATCCAGGCCAGAGCCCATCAATTTTAAGAGACAGAGGTGAGAGTCAGGGAGGCTAAAATGGCTAGAGTTCAATCTTTCGCAAACTCTCCCAATGACAGACAAAGAGGAAACAACTTCCAGCTCTTTCCATGAGGACATTTTCACATTAACACCAAAATCTGACAAGCGTATGAAAAGAAAGGAAACTTATATACTACCTCTTTCTTGAACACAGATACAAAAATTCTAAATAAAATACTGCAAAATAAATCCAGAGATACACAGAAATAAAACATGACTAAGTGGGAAGTTTATTCTAATAAAACAGATGATGAGGTAGGAGGGCATGAGTAGACAGGGAGGGATTAACACTATGAAATCTATTATTAACTCACTAGATTAACAGGTAAGAGAAAAATAATTTGATCATCTCAACAGATTCAAGAAAAGCATTTGACATAATTCAACACCATATACTTTCTTAACAAAGTATAAATAAAACTTCCTTAAACCCATAAACACCAAAAAATCCTATAGCAGTCACCATGCTCAATGGTGACATCCTAATGCATTCTCCCTGAGATCAGGAACAAAGAAAGGAATTCTATTCTGACTACTTTTTGAGACAGGGTCTCACTCTGTCACCCAGGCTGGAATGCAGTGGCGTGATCACAGCTCAACCTCCTAGGCTTGAGCATCCTTCTCCCATCTCAGCCTTCCAAGTAGCTGGGACCACAGGTGTGCACCAGCATGCCCAGCTAATTTTTTGTAGAGATGGGGTTTCACCATGTTGTCCAGGATGGTCTTGAACTCCTAGGCTCAAGCAATCCTCCCAACTCAGCCCCCTAAAGTGCAGGGATTACTGGTGTGAGTCACTGCATATGACCCATTCTGACCACTTCCATTCAACACCATACTAGGCATTTTGGCCAGTGCAATAAGATAAGAAAAGAAAAAAAATGCAAAATGACTAAAAATAAGTTATGAACAGATGATATGAATATGCAGAACATTCCAAGAGAATCCACAAATTGTTATCATTAACAAATGAACAGAGCAAATGTGCTAGGTATGAGTTCATTATAAAAATCAATTTAAATATTGTAGCAACAAAGACTAAACAAACAGACTTCACGAAGTGGTACAAATGGTCAGTAGTATTTGAAAATATCCTTAGCACTATTAGTCACTATTAAAACTTAAACCACAAGATACCAGTATATACTTACCAGAATGTCTGAAATGAGAAGAGTAACAGGCTGACAAGGCTTCTACAGAGGCAGCCTCTGGGAGAGCCAGGTCTTCTCTTAGTCTATCAAGCACTTCTTGTGGGCAGAAGGGGTTAAGAAAATATATTTCTAGACCACCACATCCAAGTAACTGCAGGGACTGGGTCTCCGACATCAGACATATATAGTAACTTGCATTTGTTTCCTAGAGTTGCTGTTACAGATTACAACAAATTGGGTGGCTAAGACAACAGAAATTCATCATCTCACAGTTTTGGAGGCCAGAAGTCCAAACCAAGGTGTTGGCATGGCACCATTTCTTCTGAGGCTTTGGGAGAATCGCTTGTCTCTTCTAGATCCTGATAGTTGTCAACATTACTTGACTTGTGGCTACAACTCTCTGCCATCTTCATGTTGCCTTCCCATCTTCTTTTTTACAAAGGCACTTGTGATGGCATTTAGGACCCACTCATAATATAATCCCATCTCTAAATGTTTAATTACATCTGCAGAGACCCTTTTCCCAAATAAAGTAATATTTACAAGTTCTCCAGGGATTAGGGTTTGATATTTTTGGGTAGCCATTTTTCAATCTACTGTACTTAATGTATTTACTACTTTTTATTTTTAAAAAAAATTTCATTTTACCAGTGCTGATTTATTTTCCTTTTTGAGACAGAGTTTTGCTCTCGTTGCCCAGGCTGGAGTGCAATGGCGCAGTCTTGGCTTGCTGCAACCTCCGCCTCCCAGGTACAGGTGCCCACCACCATGTCTGGCTAATTTTGGTATTTTTAGTAGAGACAGGGTTTCACCATGTTGGCCAGGCTGGTCTTGAACTCCTGACCTCAGGTTATCCACCCACCTAACCTCCCAAAGTGCTAGGATTATAGGCATGAGCCACCATGCCCGGCCGAGAAATCTATTTTCTAAGTAAAGAAATACACTAGTGAGACTGGAGAGATGGTTGGGGTACAGAATGGCCTGGGAAAACCTGGTGTGTGTAGAGGGGGTGAACTGAAAGAAGGTAAGTCTTAGCTATAATGGGAGTAACATTCTTTGGGTACCAAGGGAAAACTAGGAGGAGATTTTATAAAGAGGAGCTAAAGCAGAATTTCCTTCTTCTTTGTCAGGGTCCTGGGGTCTAATCCCATAAAAGAAGTGACTGTAGTGCTCGCTTCAGCAGCACATATACTAAAATTGGAACGATACAGAGAAGATTAGCATGGCCCCTGCGCAAGGATGACACGCAAATTCGTGAAGCGTTCCATATTAAAAAAAAAAAAAGTGACTGTATTTACATATCCTGCCCCAAAGAGGGGGCAATAGGCATGCTTTGGTAGACCCAGCTAGCTGCCCATTTGAAATCAATTCTTTTCCTTCTTCACTGAAAAGAATCCTACATTTGTTAGGAACATCAATTGCTCAATAAAATAGATCATTTCCACGGCACCTTTAGAGCCACCAGTCATGCAACACAGGTTAATGGGATTTAAGTAGAAACATGCAAGTGGAAATGCTGTTCTGTTCTGTGTAGAAAGAGACACATATTTGTACCTTTTCCCTAAGCCTTTCCTTTTCATGCCCTCCACCTCCCCATCCTTGACAGCATCATGGAGGAGTTACAATATCAGCCCTGGAGAGTTTGCCTGTAGACTATTCTATTAGAAGAAGAAACAAACAAACATAACACAAATGCCCCAATTGAGTTTAAGCCACTATTATTTGGTGTGTCATCAAACACAATTTTTAAAACCTAAACAATGGCTATGGTGTTTCACAGATTTGACATAATCAACAATAAACGAACCACTCCAATTGTTCTGGATACTTAAAAAATACGGCTTTCACACCAGTATGAGTCCCAGACTGGCACTCTTGAATGACTAAGTTGTAATTATTTCATCTGCTCCATACATTTATAATCAAGTACAGAGAAGATTAATGTAGATTCTTTATTGATTCCATCAATGTATTAGTAGATATGATAATAATAAATGGTACTTTTACATTCTCTTAACCAAAAATATAACAAATATTTACACTCAGTAAAAATACAAAAAGCATACAGAGGCACTGTCTTTCTAAAAGACATAAGTGTAAGAGGTATCAAAAAATAGAAGACAAACATTGCTTGTTATAGCATACCTTACAATCAATGAATTGTGCAGTATAATTGCTGATTACAACTGTGCAGTTTTGTTTTTGTTTTTTGCTGATTAGCTTATATGTGTCAATTTTAAAAGATCAAGTTCAACTGCATTCTGTGTATAAAAAATAAAGAAGCCTTAAAAATAAACAAAAGTGAAAGATGAACCAGGATTCAAGTTGAAATTTGAAAATGTACTGTGATACTTTTCTGAAGATTTATCCTGTTTTTCTGGCCTTTAAGGTAATGCTGAAGGAATACATACATGTTTTTAGAAACTTAAAATTTTATCAAAATAATCATTGTTTTAAGAAAGGTTTTTTCTCCTCCTCCCTTTTTTGAAGAGGAAAGAACACTTTATAAAAATTAGATTTGTTCTTAGAAACACCCATGATTACCATCACATTATCAGCCTGGGAGAGATTCTCAAGGAGGTGATATGAATGGCAATGATGTGACTTATCACCCTCAAGAAAATTCACTAAAGGCTTTTTCTCCCCAAAGATTATATTGAAAGTAATCATTTGGAGTAAATGAGAATTATTTACTATAATAAAAGTTTATGGAATCAGGTACTGGATTTACTAATTCTCAAAATCTTTCACCATAAAGAGATTTTGTTGAAACCTACTATTTGGCAAAAGTTTGCACTGAGCGTTAACTGCTTCAATAGTCTTGGCAGATTTAGAGTTGTAGTGGGAATAGAGGGCACTAATCTCTTCATTAAAATTATAAATTTATAAAACAAAAACAAATGGAGATCTGGAATTGGAGTAAATGCAGGTTAAGGCTTCTCTTGTTCTAGTCATATGACAAAGTAAGAGAAGGCAGGAATGTACCCTTAGTTAAAATATAAAAATCAAAACCTCATGATTTTTTAAGGAATACATACATAACAAACTACAAAGCATCTGGCTTTGGCTCCTGATCAATGTGATCAGCTGATCTGAACACTCACAGTTAAAGTTAGATAGATAAAACGAAGGCAGCTGCAAGGTGCACATCCAAAACCATAGGCCTCAATTCTCTGTGCAAGATATTTACACTATTTAGGACAAAGACAGGTAAGGCTTCCATTTGTTTTGAAAGACCTGCTAAATAAACACATTATGAAAGCAGCATATTTTTCTGGAGAAATGAATATAAAATGGTGAGTAGACATCTGAACTTCATTAAAAAAAAGTGGGCTTAGTAAAAATATATTTCACTTTGTTTTTCTGTGGCCATGAAAATAACATTATGTATATCAGTGAAGGAAAACATTTATGATCAGATGACCACTGTTTATAGGCCAAATCACTTAAGTGTGACTTTCAAACTAGTATTTTTGGCTTAAGTTACTTCCCATTTCAAAGTATCTAGAAAGCTATGGAACCACCAGGCCTCATTCTAGCATACCTGGGATTAATTTCTAAGGCTTAAGTTTCAGATTAATGTTTCTTTTCCACAGGAATTTTTCAGACATGCTATTATTCCTAAAATAAAGAGACAATCATTTTGATGGGAAAAATGAACTACCACCATTTACCACTTAAAACTGATTTGCGATTTCAAAATGAAGGGGGACAGGCAGGAAGATAGAGCGAAGACAGCCAGGGAAAAACAACAAATTTCTACAAAGGAGGTCACCAACTAAATCTTACGTGGACACATGGACAGCCATTCAAAGTAAACCCATTTTGGCTCCAAGTTGATCTGGGTAGTGCATGTTAATGGCTTTGGCTTTTTTTTTCTTTTGGTAGTTACAGAAGTTTATTAAAATTCCACTTGCCTTTACACTAACAAAAGTGAAAAAATTAAACGATATGTAGAAAACATTATATTTAATTTGCAAAAATGTGAAAAATCTACCTCATTCAGTAAACAGTCACTGAAATTTTAATTAAGAGTGCCACGCCCATGAGGCTGGAAAAGTATGTCCTCTCAAGGGCTAAAAACTGGGAACCAAGAGACAATCATTTCTCTAACTCCAGCTCCTCTTTCTCCCACAAAATTGTACTGCAGGCAGCTGTGAGCTGCAGGGTATGTCAGGTCAGACACAATCTGGTGCTCTGAAATTTGGGTGGCATGCTGCAGAACGCTGCATAAAGTCAAATTTACCTTCATGATTACAACACCTGTGATAAAAACGTCTTTTAAAAAAGTATTCCATACTTGTGTTAGGAGAGATTTTAGTTTTGGGTTTCTATAGACTAGAACCCTCTAGAACCCATTCTCTATTTGTTGGATCTATACTTTTAGTTACAATTTGATGCAGCATAACTTTCACTCAGGAAAGAATTTGTATACATGTAATTTAACATTGAAATTTCATTCTTTGGAAATTAGGGTTCCCACCCTCCTCCCCAAACTACTCCCTCCCCTTTCCCAAAGGACTGACAAGAAACCCCGTGGCAGCTTCATTTGGCCTTTCACACCATGACCAGCAGGTTCCTAACACCTCAACTGCAAAGGGCTTCCTATTTCTCTCATACTGAGACATACATTGCATTGGTTCTACAGATCAAGTCACGTCTCTACGTAGATCAAGCATATCACCTCTGTAAAGATGACTTCTGTTTGGTCAGACCAGAGACAGTTTTATGACCTCACACATGAACTTCAGCTAACAAGAATTCTCGAATAAAAACAAAACCACAACAATTCAATTAATAAGTTATTTTTCAAATATACAAGAATATCCTTGGTATTGGCAGACACTTTCAATTTGTCCTTCTGCCCAAGCTATGGCTTGGAAATAATAATGCCACTATCTTTAAAATAACTTGTTAAAGAAAAGTCTATAGCAATATACACAAGGATCACTCTGAGTTTAAATTTTTTCTGTAACTGTGGTCCCAAGGCAGTTCTGGCGTGCAAATTGGAGACTGGTATCCAGGCACAGCATCCATAGCTCAGGAAACTATTCATCTGCAGAAATTAAATGAAAGGAAGCATAACTCAGGTCTATTTCATTACTTGGCATAGTGGGAATAAAACCATTGGACTGGTTGTAGCAGTGAGCTGTTTGTTAGCAATGGCCTGCAGAATCATGAAGTGGTTCTGCCCACTCCTCAGTGACTTTCAGTTGTTTTCAAGTAGGTCATCCAAAGGCTAGACTGCTGAAACTTGTTCATTTTCTGAAAATAATAAAAATATAATTAACTGGGAGATCAGCATATTAATGAGATCAACTACAATCTAGTTATCTGTTTAGAAAATCAATGTCAACAAAGAAATCCTCTCAAACACTGCATCAAGGCCCAGATTTTATTATAATACCTATGATTTCTGATCACATTGAAGGCTGAAAATAAACTGGAATATCATAGTTTTTAATCACTTTATTGCTCTTGTTTAAAAGCACACAATTTCATTTATTTTCAATAAAACAATCATTTCTCAAACTATTGGCACAGGTACAAGGTCAAGAGTTTTGCTAATAAAAGGAACTATATCAACAGCATCATTTTGGATAATTTGGCATTTGAAATAGTTTCAAGTTTCCATGCATTAATGTAAAACACAATTCCATTAATGTTAACTGCTTTTTCTCAAAATTATCCCATTAGATTAAGCCACTGTTTTATCAAAGATAAGAATATTACATGTGAGCCATGGGGTGCTAGGTACACAGAAATTAGCAGCTTTCCCTTTTCATTAAGAAAAAAAAAAACGCCGTAAGTGCTGGGTATAGTGGCTCACACCTGTAACCCCATCTTTGTGGGAGAATGAGGCTGGCAGACTGCTTGAGCCCAGAAGTTCAAGACCAGCAGCCCGTGCAACATGGTTAAATGCTGTCTCAAATAGAAAAAATTAGCCAAGTGTGGTGGCATGTGCCTAGTAGTACCCGCTACTTAGGAGGCTGAGGAGGGAGAATTTCCTGAGACCAAGAAGTGAGCCATGATCAGGCCACTGCACTCCAGCTTGAGTGATACAGCAAGACCCTGTCTGAACAAATAAACAAAAACCCCACACGATCGGTTGGGTGCAGTGGCTCATATCTGCAATCCCAGCACTTTGGGAGGTGGGGTGGAAAGACTGCTTCAGGCCAGGAGTTCAAAACCAGCCTGGTCAATATAGTAAGACCCTGTCTCTACAAAGGAAAAATGTAACAATGAGTCAGGCAAGGCGGTGTGCTCCTGTAGTCCCAGCTACTTGGGAGGATAAGCTGGGAGGACTGCTTGAGCCCAGGAGTTTGAGGCTGCAGTGAACCATGATTGTGCCACTGTACACTAGCCTGGGCAACAAAGCGAGACCCTGTCTTGAAAAATAAAACAAAACCAAAACACTCCCTCCACACTAACATATTTAGAAACATTTTTCTAAAGACAGTTTCACTCTTATTGCCCAGGCTGGGGTGCAATGGTATGATCGTGGCTCACCGCAACCTCCAACTCCCGGGCTCAAGCAATTCTCCTGCCTCAGCCTCCAGGGTAGCTGGGGTTACAGGTACTTGCTACTATGCCCAGCTAATTCTGTATTATTTTTAGTAGAGATGGGGTTTCTCCATGTTGGTCAGGTTGGTCTTGAACTCCTGACCTCCCGTGATTCGCCCTCCCTCCCAAAGTGCTAGGAGCCACTGTGCCCAGCCTGAACGTCTTACTTTTTCTTACTTCTTATTTTTTAACAGAGATTTCTAAGGCATTAAAAGAAACAATTACGAATTACCATAAAATACCAGAGCAAAGACCATTTAATGTGTTCAGCAATTCATTTATGAGCCATTAAGAGAACTTGTCAACATACCATCTGCTTCGCTATCTGCATCAGTGACATCTGCTATCTTAGGATGGGATGGCTGCAAATTATGCCTCTGAGGCTGAGTTACAATCTTCGATGGAACACAGGCCACAAGGTTGCAACCGAGAGAGGCTGGCGGCAGTCTAGAGAGGCTGTTATGCATCATCTTTGACCTCTGCACTGCCACACTATAATCTGGAGGTTTTAGGTGTGGGTGGGGTCCTTCCTTTAGGTCGGCTAAAGAAATCCCCAAATATCCTGGAGGAGTGGGAGGTGGCTCCCTATACCTATCATCCTTCTTGGGTGAGGTGACACAGTACACTGGCATGAAAAATAAGCAATGAAAATGTTAATGAAAAAGATAAGAAATGAAAAAATCCCATAAACTTATTACAATGACAAAATAGAATTTAAAAACAGAGAGATGAATAAACTTGAATGACGGCAGATTAAAAATTTTCAAAATCTGAATAAACCTATTTTTAAAATATATAAACAATTATATTAAATCCTGTAAATATTAAATAGAGAAAGTTGAAGTAGATGACACTGATGACAAGCTTCCTTCTGCAGTTCAGCCCCCATTATCACAGAAGGGCAGGACAACTCCTGAAGTCATACTCAGCCCTAAAGATGTCAGAAACATTTCAAAGTTCACCCTAAACATCTATTCTCTGTAAACTAGGAGTTTATTTAAAAATGATGTTTGGGCCATCTGTTTAAGGGCTATTTTACCTTCTTTCTGAGACATGAACCAGTTTTCTGGCACTCCTGGGCAGACTAGTTCTCAGTCCTAGTATATAAACTTTAACTTTGCTGGCATGGAGGAACTAACTCCTTCAAAAACTTTATTTCTGGCCAGGGGCGGTGGCTCACACCTGTAATCCTAGCACTTTGGAAGCTGAAGTGGGTGGATCACCTGAGGACAGAAGTTTGAGACCAGCCTGGCCAACATGTTTGGAGCCTTGTCTCTACTAAATATACAAAAATTAGCTGGGCGTGGTGGGTGGGTGCCTATAATTCCAGCTACTCAGGAGGCTGAGGGAGGAGAATCGCGACACGGCACTCCAGTCTGGGTGACAGAGTGAGACTCTGTCTCAAAAACAAGAAAAAAACCAAAAAAACTTTAATTCTAACTTCTGCTTTGTAATGAAGTTGAGAAGAAAAAAACAGAATTTTTGAAAATTTATCTTAAATTACTCTAATTTTCAGCAGACATTAAAAATAATGACTTTAAATCCTTTCACTTAAATTTGTAAGCCCTGAGACTAAGGCAAAGCTTCAAAAAGCATCATAAACAGGTTAAAGATGAAGTTCCAAGAAATTAAGACTGGCTCATAAGACCCACAGGGAAAATGGCTCAGAATATCTTGATTATGCAAGTGACTTTTTAAAACACCAAAACAGTCGGTATACAAGCAGAATAAACTTAAAAAGACATAAAATAATTCTAATACTAACTTTACCATTAGAGAATGTGGTTTGTCCATACTGAATTTTCTAGAATTCTACCAGTAAAATTTGCATGTACTATCAAGGTCAGAAAAGATTTACATTCCCATTTAAGGATGCAATGGTGAGGTGATGGAGGTGAGGAGGTTGCTAATAACAAGAAAAAGAATGTAAATGATTTACCCATACTCATTAATAAATGATTAAAAAATCTATATTTGTAAAAGGACAAGAAAAAGATTTTTATATCTCTGTATACACATATGCTCAAGAAGTGGTTACCCAAATGGCTTTAATAAAAAACCTTGATCCATGCATGGTGGCTCACGAGATCATGCCACTGCACTCCAGTCTGGGAGACAGAGCAAGACTATGTCTCAACAAAACAAAACAAAGACAAAACTTGGAAAAAATGAATGAGCTAAAAACTCAACCTATAATAAAATTTGACAATAACTATAAAATGAGCACATTTCACCTTCACATTTTTTTTGCAATTAAATGTGACACCATGACTACTCTATAAATTTAAAGAGTTGAATATGATATTAATTCAAAGTACAGTCATTCCATACAAGTAGAAAAGCAGGAGTTTTATATCCAAGTATTTATACAATTCAGGAAAGAAATTTTAAAAAAGTATTTGGTGGCCAAATACTAAAAAAAGAGTTTATTAAGAAAGCTTGGAATGGATTCACAAGCAGGAGTTGGCACACTGATGATGCACACCAAGAGAGTGTACTAAAAAATGTTCTGGACTTCTTTTCATGTTTCTCTCACTTTTACTACCTAAAATCAACAGCAGATTCAATGTTTCCACCACGCATGCATAGTGATTGTGGTCCAAACAATTTATGAGGTGATAAAGAGAATAATCCTTTTATTAATATTGCATATTGATGTGACGATATTCCTCAATGAAACCAAAAAGATCTTAAAAACAAAGGACAAACTTGTCCCTCTAATTAATACCTTCATATCAGACTTTTCATTTTAATGGCTTGAATATCTGCTCCAAAGTCTTTGAGAATCCAAAAACTTTTGGGAAATAATTTATTTGTGAAGGAAGGAAAGAAAGGTTGTTAGTGAGAGAATTAATTTTTGTGATAAAATCCAGGGCTAAGATATCCCAGAGCAATTTTTTGACTACTTAATCTCTAAATGCGAAAGACAACAAAAACACAACTTACCAATCAAGCCCTTTTCTGTACTTGATGTGACAGTTTTGTAAACTGTGTCAGTGGCATCCTTGGGGTCTAAGCCTTCAGATGACTCGGTTGGGGTGCTCTCCAATACTCTCCGTTTAACTGTCCCATAGTTTGGTTCATACGTGTCAGACAGAGAACTGGAGGAGGCCCAACTCTTTCTCAACTGATTTGTCTCTAGGCTTCCTTTACACTGCCCACAAGTTCTAGAGCAGCTTTTAGGACAGGAATAGGGCTCACAGTCAGTGGGTTCAACTTCAGCAATGGGGTCATCCAAATGGGTATGTCTGTAAGAGTTCAAAAAATCCCAGCTTTTTGGGTTTGGAAGGCTTTGGAAGTTGTCATGGGAGCTGCTTGAACACGAAGTCCAACTTCCACGACCACTGTCAGCTGCTTCTATGATGATATGCTCATGAGAAATCTCTTCACTGCTCACAGACGATGAGACAGCTGAACACTTGATTAGAGATGGCTTCAAGAGTGTATACCTAAAGTTGGAGATCATGTACAGAGTTTACAGCCTTGCTGGAAAAATTTTCTTCTCTCTGTTTTAAGTTATTATTCCCTATGAGAAACTGTAGAACACATACTACAAGTGTTCATGCCAAAATAACCTTGTGAAGAAAATTATATTACCATCATTCATCACTGAATTCCTTCAAGTATTTAGTTAACACTCAGGAAGATACAGTGAAGAAACTGAAATGCTTAGCAAAGTTTCCTTAGCATTTTTCTTTTTAAATTTTAAAATTATTATTATTATTATTTTTGAGACAGAGTGTCACTGTGTTGCCCAGCCTGGAGTGCAGTGGCTATTTACAGGCACGATCATGGTACACTGTAGCCTTTAACTCCTGGGCTCAAGCAATCCTCCTGCTTCAGCCTCCCTAGTAGCAGGGATGGACTACAAGTATGCCTGGCAAGTATTTTTCTTGAACTGATTTTAAATGAAAATGCAAAGATGAGATTTAAAATGAATAACCTTAAGTATACATATTCATTCTTGCCATTACAATATTAGACTACTGTCCATGCATATAGAATTAAGAGTTGCCAACTTGAAGAACCATGTTTTATTTTTCAATGTACCTCTGAGGTTAGCCCAGTACAGTGACAATTAAACAGCAACTTCCCAATTACCTATAAAAGGAATCATTTATAGCAGGGGTCCCTAAACTAAAGCTCATGGGCCAAGTTTAGTCAACAGCCTGTTTCTGTATGGTCTGGAGCAAAGAATAGTTTGGTTTTGTTTTAAACCTTTTAAAAGGTTAAAGCAAAGGAAAAATTTGTGACAGAGACCATATGCAGCCTGTGAAGGTGAAAATATTTACTACCTGGCCCATCACAAAAGAAGTTTGTAAAACCTTGGGGGTTTTACAAACCTTGCTTGGGGGGTAGCAAATGGCAGACAAGGGCCAAATCTGGTGGTCTCTTTGCTCATTTTTGTAAATAAAGTTTTAGTGGGACAGAGTCATGCCATTTATTTATGTGTTGTCTATGGCTGTTTGGGTGTAATAGCAGAGTAGTTGTGACAGAGGCCTTATGGCCTGTTAAGTCTAAAATGTTTACTCTGTAACTTTTATAGAAAACATGTGATGACCTCTGGTGTAGAGATCATAGTTTAACCTTATAAATGTAATACTTTATCTTAACATTTTCATATTAAAGTAGACTAGATTTCACAATATTCATCAGTCAGAATAATCTTTCTCAAAGATTTCCATGTTGTTTGATTCTAAATAGAAATTTAGAATTAACATTTTTTAAAGAATTAACTTTTGCTAAGTGATTATTCTTACTCTCCAAATTACACTTTCAGAGGACAGGGATCAAGGGCTAGTTCTACTCTCCCAACTTATCTACAATGTGCACAGCACTGGAGGCACTTTCTAATACACAACCTTTTTGATAACTTAGCCAGAATTTCAAAAATTATCTCGCCTATGTGAACAGCAGCTGCACTTTGAGTTCTTATTCATTGGGAAGATACATAATGATAAAAAGTTATTTGAATTTAGTAACACTTTAAAAATGAACACCCAAAAATCTTTCAAAATAGTGCTTATTTACATATTCAGAACAGAGAATATGTGCTTGGCCCACATATTCTTTTATGGATAACTCTGCAATTACTCCACGGGAAGTCCAAGGTCAAGGTGGGAAGCACTGCTTGCAGTGGCCACTTGGCTTGGGTTTTGTGTTATAAACACAGACAACGATGCTTACCCAGGGCCATGCTGACTATGATCTCCTATCCCTGAAGGGTGCTCTGTCTTTTCCAATGCCCCAGTGGATTCAGGGATTACCAGGGCCTGAGTGGAACACCGTTCATCCTGTAGAGCTGCAGGCATAGAGTCAACAGAACAATTGCTTACGATGCTGGACCGTGAAGAAATCTCACTATGGCTGGAGTCAGACAAGTTGTCAGATTTAGCTGATGGAGTAAGTGTGTAACCTGAATGAGAAAAGAGCCACTGATCAAACTACAAAAAAAAGGGAACAGACAGTGGGGGTAGTAGGGGAAAGGATGAAAAGAAACAAAAACAAAAATAACAGAAGACAAAGTAGAAGCAATTTTAGTTTCCATCTATGTAGATATAATGGAACAAATTTTCTCCACACATTCCCCTACATATCCATTAATCTACTTATCCATACCACACCAATCCAACTCTGCATTCAAGAAAAAGACAAAGTCTAGTATTACTAAGAAAAATAGTTTAAAGGTCTATCTATCTCAGGTTCTCCCACAGCTACAATCATTTAGCAAATTAAGATTACAAATATTAAAAAGTAGATGTCTTTAGGGTTTCTCAACTTAGTGCTTCTTCCTTTGATTAATTAATATGATCATTTCATGACCCAATCTGAATCCAATATACCCTCTTGAAGTAAGGATAGAGGTGGGAGTCCAAGATTCAAGGGAAAGAACTACATTTTTGCTTTATCAAACTATATATACTTACCCCAGAAATTCTGCATATGACACCTAAGAAGTCTTGTCTTGAGTTGAGAGTCACTGTTTTAGATTATTTTTATTTTTTAGATACAGTGTCCTGCTCTGTCACCCAGGCTAGAGTGTGGTAGCATGATCATAGCTCACTGCAGCTTTGAACTCCTGGGCTCAAGTGATCCTCTTGCCTCAGCCCTGAGTAGGTGGGACAACAGGTTCACACCACTACACCCAGTTAATATTTAAACATTTTGCAGAAATGAGGTCTCATTATGTTGCCCAGGTTGGCAAGCAATCCTCCTGCTATAGCCTCCCAAAGTGCTGGGATTACAGGTGTGAGCCACTGAGCCCAGGCTGTTTCTGTTTTTAAAATTATTTTAGGTTTAAACTTAATGCTGTACTTAGTTTCCTTTTTCTTCACCAACTTTGCAGAATATTAAACAGCTGAGTGGATACATTTTTAATAATATGTTACAAAAATAAACAGCATCTAATATGTTCTATGTTGTTCTATGATTTACTGCACAGCAGACAACTAGAGAGATGTTCTTCTGTATTCTTTGGAATGAAGAGGTAGGGATGCAGTGAGGTGAAGGACCCAAAAACAAATCTGCAAACAGAATGGCTAACAAACATTGTAATCTATTTTGATAACTGGAAAAAAATCAAATTTTTATTTAGAAATAAAAAGAAAATACTCTAGTAATCCCAACAAGAGGAGGGTCTCTAAGAAGTAAAAAATATCTTTCTGCTCAGAGGAGAGTAAGGTTTAGTAGACATGTGACCTTTGGACCAATCCCTAGAAATGTCATTAGGAAGAATTACAGGCTTTAGGTATGTTATTAGAATTCTCAGGGCCTCATCTTCATGCAGAAAGAGGATGACAACATCCTTAGTTCCAAAGTCCTCTCTGTTTAAGGATCTTAAGAGTTATTCACATATAACTCAAGTCATTTAAGAAAAATTTGTTGCAGAGTAACTTTATTAAGTCATTTCATTAACTATTTAAAAGAGAAAAAGGCCCAGAAAATGTGTGATTTATTCTTGGACTATGTGGCCAGGAACAGGGTAAGACAAGACAAGCCAGTCTTCTGACTTCTATATCTCTGAACCTGGGATCACTGCTATTTGTCAGTATCCATAGTCAATTTTCAAGAGGACCCAAGAAAGTGGATGTAGTAAATTTAAAAAAAATAAATAAATACCTTCTTCCTCCAAAGAAAAAATGTCACCGCTCTACAAAATATTCTTGCTTCATTGTTTTAAAAATAATTTCATTCCTATGTGTGTTTGATCAGTATTTCTCAAATATAATAATACTAAGAACCACCTGGCAATCCAATTAAAATAAACATTCCAGATCCCATTTCTGACAATTCAAGTTTATGAAGTCTGGGGTGGGACACAGAAATTGCATTTTTATTTTTTTGAGATGGAGTCTTGCTCTGTTGCCAGACTGGAGGACAGTGGCGTGATCTCCGCTCACCACAGCCTCTGCCCTCCAGGTTCAAGTGATTCTCTTGCCTCAGCCTCCCGAGCAGCTGGGACTAGAGGCATGCGTCACCATGCTCTGCTAATTTATATATATATATATTTTTTTTTTTTTTTTTGGTAGAGATGGGGTTTCACCATTTTGGTCAGGATAATCTTGATCTCTTGACCTTGTGATCTGCCCGCCTCAGCCTCTCAAAGTGCTGGGATTACAGGCATGAGCCACCACGCCCGGCCAGTAATTGCATTTTTAAACAAGTTTCCTAGATGATTCTGAAATTACTATGTTAGACTAGTTCCTTCTCCCCCAATGAAAGGCACGTAAAAGTAGAGGATAAAAAAGCCTCCTCTACATATTTCACTCACAGACCCAGCTAACAGTAGAAAATAAAGTTCGACTACAGAAAACAAGGGTATAAAGTTTACTAACTCAATACATTAGTAAAATAACATATGTACAAATGAAGCATTTTAAAATGTTTATAAATAGTATTTTACTAAGTTGTCTGCCTAAGCTTTGACAAATAGTTTAATTATACATTAATAACTGAAAACAAACTAAACACTAAAATTAAATAAGGAACTTCATTTCATCAGAGTGTCTTCCTCCTTTTAGACTTGAATCGCGTATAGAAACAGTTTAAAGTGTTACTGTTGCCTTGGCTATTTGAATTGAAGATGGCACTGCCTTTCTCATCTTTGATGTTGCTTCCAACACCCTTCACTTTCTCACAGCTTTCTGTTGCTTGATTGTGATCTGTGTCCTCTTTTTTGCTGTCGACTAGTCTCTCCCTTGAAAGCATTCTTTCCCTAAGTCTTCTAAACGGGGATGCCATTCTTTTTCTGGTTGTGTTCTCACAACTTGTCCTCTCTCTATTCTCCTCAGTGGCCTTCTCAGTACTGTCTGTTCTTTTGGCTGTGCTCCTGGTAATCTGAAGGATTTTCTTTTGCAAGTAAGCCCCACCTATTCCAGGGCAGCTCTGGCCACTGATCTTGCTGCTGTGATCAGATATGATATTGCCAACTGGAGGGAGAGATGCAAAAACCCTGACATGATCAATGAAAATTAGCCTTGTTTACATAATATTTCATTATTTAAAAATTCTAACATCTTGATAATATCTGAAAAATTGAAATCTAGCAACTTTTTTTTTTAACGCATGCAAACTTAAATATAGCATATACACATAAATTATTGCAAGACAGAATGCAGGAGAAAGATTAACTTCATCAGAACAAGCTGGTGATAAAAACAAAAACAAAAAAACTGTTGAAAGGAAGCCAAGCTGGTAAAATCAGAAGGAAAAATATGACAAAAATATCAGGTAACCAGAATGATTTCTGTAAAGTAACTATGTAGGTCTAGAATTGTAAGGTAGATTTTACTATGAAAAAGCTTAGTAAAAACCAAATAGAACATACAAATAGTACATTCACTAGGTATATGTATAGAACTAATCTCAAAGTTTAGTAAGAACCAGGTACAGATTCTAATAATTTATTCTGAGTGTAATGACAGTTTTGTTCAGTCTCAGATTACTGGCAAAAACCTATCTACAGAAACAGAAGGATCATATTTAGTTGGGGTTTTGATAGTACAAATGCAAGAACAAGCTGAAACAATTCTGAAGAAAACAATTTCTTCAGGCTTCTTAGAATTCTAAACATTGCTATGAGATGCTCACAAATCTATAAATATGGTGTTCAATTGTTAGCTACGCAATGAAAGACAATGGAAAAAAAGACTTCTCTGTTTGAGGGCTGAGTGCAGGTTTTCTGTGGGGAATAAGAGCAATGGAGGAATTTCTGTCCCTAATACCTCTTCCTAGAAGTCACATTTGGGCATAAAATACCAAATCAGATCCCGCTAGTTACAACCATCTATAACAGGACGGACTTCTGAGCAGTCTCTGAAAGGGGTAAGGAGTGTAAAGGTGTTCCTGAAAGAGCATTAGGAGCATACGGATACTATTGATTTGGACTATCTGTCTGACTGGAGGTACTGTGGCTTATCCTACACCTCAAGATCTGATAAAGGGCACTTTGGATAGGACCATACAGACAAGGAAAGCAATGACACAGGTCTGTGTGCAGCACAATATTATATATGAGCTACAACAGGATCAAAATCTGTGTTTTATAAATATACCTACTATATATACTGTTTATATCTCCTGTTTCATTTTTATTAAGCTTCAGTAAAATCTGAAATGAAAAAAATCTAACCAGTCTCAGCTATGTGAGGATGAAAAGAGCGAGTAATGGAGCTATGGTGTCCTGAGGTGGCAGGAGAGAAAGAAAAGAGGCATTCCAATTCACTAAACACTTACCAAACATCAGACTTTATAAATATGATTTCATTTAAACTACATAAGTGGCTCCTAAAATAGACAGTCCTTTTTCTTTTTTTGAGATAGAGTTTTACTCTTGTCGCCCAAGCTGGGGTGCAATGGCATGATCTCAGCTCACTGCAACCTCTGCCTCCTGGGTTCAAGTGATTCTCCTGCCTCAGCCTCCTGAGTAGCTGGGACCACAGGTGTGTGCCACTACACCTGGCTAATCTTTTTGGTATTTTTTGAGACAGTTTTGCTCTTGTTGCCCATGCTGGAATGCAGTGGCGTGATCTCGGCTCACAGCAACCTCTGCCTCCTGGGTTCAAGCAATTCTGTCTTAGCCTTCTGAGTAGCTAGGATTATAAACATCCGCCACCATGCCTGGCTAATTTTGCATTTTTTACTAGAAATGGGGTTTCTCCATGTTGGCCAGGCTGGTCTCGAACTCCTGACCTCAGGTGATCTGCCCACCTTGGCTTCCCAAAGTGCTGGGATTACAGGCACGAGCCACCACATCCAGCCTTTTTTGTATTTTTAATAGAGATGAGTTTCACCATTTTGGCCAGGTTAGTCTTGAACTCCTGACCTCAGGTAATCTGCCTGCCTTGGCCTAGATGGTCTTTTTCTCATCTTACAGGAAACCAGACCATATAAATAAATTACTTGTAGTAATACAACTAGAGTGGAGGACAGAGTCATGGTTCAAACTCAGGTCTGACATCACTGTACATAATTGTCACAGAGGCAAGAAAGAGCCCTGCAGAGTGGGATGAAATTAGAACCTGGAAACTGAAGCAAGCTCTGGAAGGTTCTCTCTCCTGTTAGAAGTATTAAAATAAGCTTGTCTTCCCTGTGACCATGTACCATCCTCTGGTGTGATTATTTAAAGATGTAATTCCTTTATATCTGTGAAGAAGATATCAAGACTAAATCTCCTTTCTCCCCAGGGTACACAAAGAGTGTGAAGGGTCAGTAAAAGAAATGCACACCATATTTAGAATGCTACATGTGCAGCTAACATGAAGTGGCATCTGCAGGCACACTGTCCAGGCTATCCAAGAAAAGAAATGCTTCAGTCTGAATGATGAAAACATGTAAATGAACAAGAAGAATTTCAGTTTTTTTTACCTCATGAGATTTGTGTAAGTAAAAAATCCATAAGAGTATAGGTTATTTTAAAAAAGTTAATATTCTATTACTAAAAAAAAAGCATTAACCTAAATAATTTTTTTTCCTAAATCTTATGGTTAGTTAAAAACAATGTCTTCCCTTTTTGTTGAGACAGGGTCTTGCTCTGTCACCCAGGCTGGAGTGCAGTGGTGTGATCACAGCTCACTGCAACCTCTGCCTCCTGGGCTCAAGCGAACCTCTCACCTCAGCCTCCTGGGTATCTGGGACTACAGGCACACCACCATGCTTAATTTTTAAATCGTTTGTAGAGACAGGGTCTCATCATGTTCCCCTGGCTGGTCTCAACTCCTGGGCTCAAGTGATCTGCCCACTCCAGCTTCTCAAAATGCTGGTATTATAAGCAAGAGCCACTGTGCCCGGCCTGAAGACAATCCCTTACAGAAACTTTTATTTGCAAACACTCCATAGAAATGTCCAAATACAGGAAATTGGAATAACACCACCAAGAATTTGCACCAAAACTATGGCTTCTGCCTTCATTCTTATCCATGCTTGCCCCTCTTTTAAACAAGTTTAGGAGCATACTTCGAATACTGGAGTCCCAGTTACATGACGCATAATACCTAAAAAGCATATGCATAAGGCAATACAAAGCACCAAAGTTCAAAAAGCATTAGGAGTTATGCTTTTGTTAATGACTTATAATTACTGCTATATACTGAAAAGCAAAATATGTGCTATAAACTGTTATTTAGTCTAACAAGAACTAGTTTGAAATGTTTCGTCTTACCTTTGTGAGGGGAACCTTGAGGAGATGCAGGAGGACTAGAATGTAAAGATGATGCCACAGAAATAGTGTCTTCTGTATGCTTCTTACCACTTATTTCTTCAGTTGTTCCTAAAACTTTCTGAGGTAAACTTGTATCTAAAAATAAAACCAAAGATGCAAATAAGCAACTTCACAATTAAAATGTCTATAGTTGCCTAAATCACTACATAACTAAAGCTATGATGCACAATGGGTAGTGTAGTCAACTGAAATGTGTAAATGACAAACAGACTAAATGACTGGGTAATGGCATACAGAGATTCTCACCTCTAGGTTATTTGTTCAAATTCAGCTGGTCTGCATGAACCAGATTTTATTAGTTTGTCTGTGCTTTGTGGTTTAAGGGTAATCAATTTAACAGTCTGAGTGCTGTGCCCCGCCTCCCACAACTGACAAAGTGATTTGAAATCTTCAAAGAGAAGGCATGGATTCAAACTCTTCCCTCCCCTCTAGAGGTGGCCTCTCCAAGTCAGGACGAGGCATGTGGCAGAGGCAGTGTAGGAATGTTGGCACTGTCACTACCTGTGGTGCATCTGTGCTGTGGGTATACAGAAGAGGCTGCAGGGCTGCCAGTCCAGCCCCTTTCAAGAGCACTAAATTCACACTATGGGAGAGAAGTAAACAACAGAAAGAATCATGAATGTATAGAAAGATAGTATGTAGTACAGTGGAAAGATTCCTTAAAGCTCAATCATTACCCTTGTCTAAAGGCTGGTCCTGTTTAATTTACCTCAAACTTAGCAATGGTTTCAATATATTGACGTTTTTAGATTCACCTTCTCTAAGGAATGTCAAAGACGTATTGGTACTGTTCTTAAAACATAAAGTAAGCAAACTGCGATGAGGATTTGACATAATAAGAAGCAGCCACTGGCCAATGAAAAAATTTAGATCATAGCATACTCACACTACCCTTCATTAAATGTAATATAAACATATGCATCATATAAATAGCTGTATTATAATAAAAAATGAAGAAAGCTATATGGGGCTGGGTGCAGTGGCTCACGCCTGTAACCCCAGCACTTTGGGAGTCCAAGGCAGTGGATCACCTTAAGTCAGGAGTTTGAGACCAGCCTGGCCAGCATGGCGAAACCCCATCTCTACTGAAATACAAAAATTAGCTGGGTATGGTGGCACATGGCACAAACCTGTAATCCCAGCTACTCAGGAGGCTGAGGCAGAAAATTGCTTGAACCTGAAAAACAGAGGTTGCAGTGAGCCAAGATTGAGCCACTGTCTCAAAAAATAAAAGAAAAGAAAAGAAAGAAAGAAAGCTACATGGTACAAGTAATGCTGCCTCTCAATTAGATACTCAAGTAAAAAAACCATGGCCAGGTGCAGTGGCTCAAGCCTGTAATCCCAGCACTTTGGGAGGCCGAGGCGGGTGGATCACGAGGTCAAGAGATCGAGACCATCCTGGTCAATATGGTGAAACCCCGTCTCTACTAAAAATACAAAAAAATCAGCTGGGCATGGTGGCACGTGCCTGTAATCCCAGCTACTCAGGAGGCTGAGGCTGGAGAATTGCCTGAACCCAGGAGGCGGAGGTTGCAGTGAGCTGAGATCGCGCCATTGCACTCCAGCCTGGGTAACAAGAGAGAAACTCTGTCTCAAAAAAAAAAAAACAAACAAAAAAAAACCCAGAGCTAACTTGGCCCCCTCTCACTCCTACCAACAAATTTATCAACTTCACTAATTCTTCTTCTAATTCTCTCTTCATTTCCATAGCCACCAAACTAGTCCAGGCCCTGGGCAATTTCTAGCTAACTGTTAGACTAGCTTTCCATCTGAGGTCTCTCCTCCAGTCTTGCTGTGCCTTATACAGGCTTTCTCAAACATAGTTTGAACCCCTTTGTTCAAGTCTCTTCAATGGCTTCTCACTGATAACTTTCCTTAAGCATGGCACATTGTAATTTCAGCATACCTGTCTTCATCCTCTGCATCTTAGAAGCCGTTTAGTACAGTAGTTAAAAGCAAAGATTTAAAGCCAGTCAGGATTCTTTTAGCCTCTATGCTTCCTTTGTAAAATGAGCGTAAAAACACCACTTATCTTGTGGCGTTATTATGAAGAATGATAAAGTTAGTAAAGCACTTTGAACCACACCTGGCACTGGTCTCCCAAGTATTAGCTTTAATTACTATTGTCTGTCATCACTGGATATAATTTCCACTCAGAGTCAGCAAAGCGCTTGTGTTTTCTTGCACATACCAAGCTGTTTCCTCTGCCTGAAGCAACTTCTCTGGAACTTTTTGCCTAATTATCTTTGTCTTTGCCAATCTTTCAGACTGCTTAGATGTTATTTCCAAAAAGCCCTTTTCTGAAACCCTATCTTACCTCTAAGTTAAAAGCTCTTGTTTTGTTCTTCTATACATTCTACATATACCTCTGGCATAACAAGAAGACATATTATACTGAAGTTATCTGTGTGACTATCCACATCACCCAACTGAAATCTGGCAAAGGAGAAAGTATTTCTTATCCAACTTTGTATCTCAAACAATAAATAAAGTTCTACTAAACATATACTACATACAATGCATGACCTGAGTAATAATGCTAGGAAGCAAATCTAACCTAGTTTCTCATCTAAAAGCTAAAACAGTGATACTGTTAACACAATAAATAAAAGTAATATGGATAATTACTAACTGGCCTAAAAGAAAAAAACAGTGTGGTCTATACTTTATAAATATGACATTCTCTTGTTTCCTAACTAGGTTTTCAGAAGAGGTCATTAAGGACAAAAACATCGTATAGCCATTTTTGGAATAAGCAACTTCATTTCCACAGTTTTCTTTTCTTTTTCTTCTTCTTTTTTTTTTGAGACGGAGTCTCACCCTGTTGCCCAAGCTGGAGTGCAATGGTGTGATCCCGGCTCACTGCAATCTCCACCTCCTGGGTTCAAATGATTTTCCTGCCTCAGCCTCCCGAGTAGCTGGGATTACAAGTGCCCATCACCACACCCAGCTATCTTTTGTATTTGTAGTAGAGATGAGGTTTCACCATGTTGGTCATGCTGGGCTCGAACTCCTGACCTCGTGATCTGCCCACCTTGGCCTCCCAAAGTGCTGGAATTACAGGTGTGAGCCACCACACCTGGCCATTTCCATAGGTTTTTATAGATTTTGTCTGTATTAGATATTTCATTAAATACACCTTTGAATGCAGTAAGCCCTTGGTACCCAAAATTTATTGCTGTAAATCTTCTATTGATCAACAGATTTCAGCATTATAGGAAATCCAATGTTGGCATTGAAAACATATATGCTGTCAGCAAACATCTGTAGGCAAAATAAAACATTTTTTGATTCATGCAGTGACTGTATTACACAATCTATAACAGCTTATCTCCTAAACATGTGTAATGATTTTTCATTCTAACTCCCCTGAAAATTTCAGTTAAATGCATATAATATTAATGGTGTATACTCACTCAATGCAGGGTCTTTTGTTTGTCCCTTCTTCCTGATGGGGTACAAATTAACAGCTGGCACCTGAAGCACCTGGCTTACTCTGTGGGGTTGATGCAAGTGGACTTTACTTGTTTGGCCAGCTGATCTCATAGGCACTGGAGACATTTCAGATGATTTGGCTGATTTTTTCTCACTTAAATTCTTGGTCACTAATAGGAAAGAGTAAGAAATAGGTAACTGCATGTTTTTAGGCAAGGTTATCACCACTGGCAATAATAAATAGTTACTTTCACAAACAGATGGAAAAACATTTCATGCTCATGGTTAGGAAGAATTAATATCATTAAAATGTCCATACTGCCCAAAGTAATCTATAGATTCAACGCTATCCCCATCAAGCTACCAATGACCTTCTTCACAGAACTGAAAAAAGAAACACTTTAAACTTCATATGGAATCACAAGAGAGCCCCTATAGCCAAGATAATCCTAAGCAAAAAGAACAAAGCTGGAGGTATCACACTGCCGGACTTCAAACTATACTACAAGGCTACAGTAATCAAAACAGCATGGTACTGGTACCAAAACAGAGACATAGACCAATGGAACAGAAAAGAGGCCCCAGAAGCAACACTACACATCTACAACCAACTGATCTTTGACAAACCTCACAAAAAGCAATGGGAAAAGGACTCCATGTTTAATAAATGGTGTTTGGAAAACTGGCTAGTAATGTGCAGAAAGCAGAAACTGGACCCCTTCCTGACACCTTACACTAAAATTAACTCCAGATGGCTTAAAGATTTAAACATAAAACCTAACATCATAAAAACACTAGAAGAAAACATAGGCAAAACCATCCAGGACATAGGCATAGGCAAGGACTTCATGACGAAAACACCAAAAGCAATGGCAACGAAAACACCAAAAGTAATGGCAACAAAAGCCAAGACAGACAAATGGGATCTAATTAGAATTCAGAGTTTCTGTACAGCAAAATAAACCATCATTAGAGCAAAATGGCAACCAACAGAATGGGAAAAAATTTTTGCAATCTACCCATCCCATAAAGGGCTAATATCCAGAATCTACAAAGAACTAAAACTGATTTACAAGAAAAAAACAACCCCATTCAAAAGTGGGCGAAGGATATGAACAGACACTTTTCAAAAGAAGACATATATGAGGCCAACAAACATAAGAAAAATGCTCATCATCACTGGTCATTAGAGAAATGTAAATTAAAACCACATTGAGATACCATCTCACGCCAGTTAGAATAGCCATCATTAAAAAATCTGGAGACAGAGCTTAGTCTGGTGGCGACTTCGGCAGTGCCACGAGAGCAGGCAGAGTAGGAGACTGACATGAGTGAATTCAGAAATAGCTCAAGCTTGTTAGAGGCTTTTTAAAAATAAAAAGTTGATTCTGTGCAAGTGAGCAAGTTATTGCTGCTTACCATTCAGAGACTTACAGGTGTTTGCCTGCAATGCAATAAAGGACTCATTTATTGAGCAAGACATATTTATCTCTTCATTTTGGAGAGCCTAATAAACGATTACAGTTTCTTTACTGACTTTCAAAAGTTTTGAAGTTTGAAAGACACCTTTGCAACTAAAATAGCATGAGCACAGCCAGAACAGAGAACCCTGTTATAATGGGTCTGTCCAGTCAAAATGGTCAGCTGAGGGGCCCTGTGAAACCCAGTGGTGGCCCTGGAGGAGGGGGCACACAGACACAGCAACAGATGAACCAGCTGAAAAACACCAACACAATCAATAATGGCACTCAGCAGGAAGCACAGAGTATGATCACCACTATTAAACCTGGTGATGACTGGAAAAAGACTTTAAAACTCCAAAGGATCTAAGAATCAAAACTCGGGTGTGACCTCCACAAAAGGAAATGAGTTTGAAGATAACTGTCTGAAAAGGGAGTCACCAATGGGAATTTTTGAAATAGGCTGGGAAAAGCCATCTCCTATTCAGGACGAGAGCATTCCCATTTCTTTATCTGGTTGGGATATCTCAGCTAGAGCAAAAAATGGAATAGGCAAGAGCGGTGCCTACCTCATTCCCTTACTTGAACGGCTAGACCTGAAGAAGGACAATATACAAGCAATGGTGATTTTTCCCACTAGAGAACCTGCTCTACAGGTCAAATTTGCATCCAGGTCAGCAAACACATGGGAGGGGTCAAAGTGATGGCAACCATCGGAGGAACCAATTTACGAGATGACATAATGAGGCTTGATGATACAGTGCATGTGGTGATTGCTACGCCTGGGAGAATCCTGGATCTTATTAAGAAAGGAATAGCAAAGGTTGATCATGTCCAGATGATAGTATTAGATGAGGCAGATAAGTTGCTGTCACAGGATTTTGTGCAGATAATGGAGGATATTATTCTCACGCTACCTAAAAACAGGCAGATTATATTCCGCTACTTTCCCTCTTAGTGTACAGAAGTTCATGAATTCCCATTTACAGAAACCCTACGAGATTAACCTGATGGAAAATACTAACTCTAAAGGGAGTAACCCAGTACTACGCATATGTAACTGAGTGCCAAAAAGTACACTGCCTCAACACACTTTTCTCCAGGCTTCAGAAATACCAGTCGATCATTTTCTGTAACTCCTCTCAGCGAGTTGAATTGCTAGCCAAGAAGATTTCTCAACTGGGTTATCCTTGCTTCTATATTCATGCTAAAATAAGGCAGGAACATCAAAATCGTGTATTTCATGATTTCTGAAATGGCTTATGCCACAATCTTGTTTGCACGGATCTGTTTACCCGAGGTATTGATATACAAGCTGTGAATGTGGTAATAAACTTTGATTTCCCAAAGCTGGCAGAGACCTATCTCCATCATATTGGAAGATCAGGTCGCTTTGGTCATCTTGGCTTAGCCATCAACTTGATCACATATGATGATTGCTTCAATCTGAAAAGTATTGAGGAGCAGCTGGGAACAGAAATTAAACCTATTGTAAGCAACACTGACAAGAGCCTGTATGTGGCAGAATACCACAGCGAGCCTGTAGAAGATGAGATACCTTAACAAGCATGCTTTGACAAACTTACAGAAGGCTCGTTTGGATCTGGTACACATCGTTTTGGGGGAATGCTCTTCTCTTTGTGAGTTTTTCATCTTTTATTTTGGAACTATGAAGACTTAAAGGAGCTCAGACATTTTTTCTTTTTTTAACTGGTGAAGAGAAAAATGCTGAAAAGAAGGAATATACCTTTTTGTTCTACTTGTTTGCACTGTGTGCTGACTGAACATCAGTTGCACTAACTGCTGGTTTTTAAAAAATGTTTTCTGGGGAAAGGAGACAAGGAAGGAAAAGAAAGAAGAGAAGGGGAGAAACCCTAAAAAGAGAAGAATCTTAATGAACACACAAGCTTGTCTATGATTTCAAAGTTCTCCAACAGCTGATTCTCGAGTACATTTCAACTTCTCCTTGATAACTCATCCGTTTTTTAAGCCTGAAGAGCTTATTACTTATTTGTGCGAAGTGCCTTATGCTATGAGACCATTCAGAACATCATCTTTTAGACAGCCCAAGGAATCAACAATAGTAACTCTTTCTTTCCTTTTTTCTTTTTCTTTCAGAAATTTTTGTCTTTTCATTTAGTTTCAAGTTAAAGTCTCTTCCCTTTCTACCCAGTACTCAAGCCCAGGGCTAGAAGATGAAACTTACTAGTAATGTTAAACACCATTTTCTTTTTCTTTATGTGGAGGAGTTGATAATGCAGCTGCAGTTCATCCACACTGTAAATACATGTATTTAAAAAACAATCCCAAGTAAAAATTTCTTCTGGGTTGAGTAGATAAAACATCATTGCTCCCAAAGGAAAGAGCAGTCTATCATTGCAGGAGCCATATGACAAGCTTTTGTGCTCTACAGCAGACACTGAAGACTGGTTTACACGCGCCCCTCCAGTAGCAGTATGGCACTTGATGTGTGGACATGTCAGAGCCTTGAGCCTCTTTCCTCTGTGGCAAAGTGTATCCCATAAAAAATTGGGTGTGTATACTTGTATAAACTTTGTAAATAAGTTTTTTCCTGGGTTCATACACACACACACAAACACACACACACACACACACATATACTTTTTTTTTTTGGATGAAGGTTGCTGGGTTTAAGGGGATTAGAGTGATTAAGGGAGCAGCTAAAGATGAGAGGGGCTCAGTTTTATGCAACACTAAATTCTAGAAAGTACTTCCTGTTGTAGAGAGCAGATTTCTATGGTACCCTGTGTTAGTAAAGGGACCCAGAAATCTGGGGCGTACTGTCTGCTGCCACACTGTCTCATCTAGTACCTTTGGAGTAGGTTAACCAAAGAGAGCAAGGAAGCTTCAAAACATTGATAATTCAAGACTTGTTTTTAGAAGCTCTGATTTTGCTTCTTCGCCCTTTCTAAAAGTTTGAGGAATATTTCAAGCTCCGCAAAAGGGGACAAAGATTAATCTACCTTGCAGGGTGGGAATTCTGTTGAGTGGCAGTGTTGTTGAGCAGCATATATATAAAGCACAGATTTGCATTTCAGAATATTAGCCAGTACCAGCTTTGGTAATGTTAGCAGTTCTGGAGCTTAAGTTTCTGTGGATCATTCTCTGTAGTGTGTAAATGTGTTGCCCTCTGCCCATCTTGATACATAAACTTTCGCAGGAATGGGCAACCTAAGAGCTGTTAACTTTCATGCTAAAGAAAGCTGCTTGTCATTCTCTTGCATCGTGACAAGAATTGATTTCTGTCATTTTGCACTGTAAATTGCTGGCAAATGCTTTACAGTCAATAGTGTTGCTTTAAACTGTGCCCCTCCCAACATGCTTGATGTCTGGCCTAATCTCCAGGCAAAAGGAGTGAGATAAATCAAAACCAGTGAACTTTTTTTCTTAATGTTTTTAATTCCCTTTTAACCCAGTGTACTAGGTCAATCAGGAGGCATCAGGAAAGGGGGAAAACAAAAAACAAAAAAAATTGATTTCTATATTTCATTTTCAAACCCCTAAAATATTACAAAATAAGTCCTGCATATACATTAATGTTTTAACTCTTCTGACAAAGAAATCAGTTACTTGAAGTTGCTTTTTTGACTCTGCTTACTGCTGAGCAAACTATTTGTGACTCACCCACAATTACTTGGAGATCAAAATCCTACAGATGCCTCCTGATAGGACAGAGCTCTAATTCCTTA